CTTGTGTCGAAATTGAAAGATTCGAGTTTTGTCGTACTTGATTGTCGAGAACGAGGGCCGAACATTAAAGGTGCTAATCGGGTTCGTCTTCCTAAGGTAGAGTGTATAAGTAACTTTATTCTTAATGAAATCCACGCAACCGTGTGTTACGCTGAGTCATCTTTATTTAATAGATGAAACTGAGTCGCAATGTAAAGTTTATTTCTTAAAGAGAAACTTTTTTAACATTTTAACGTTTCGCTTTGTCTGAGTACTTATAGGCATATCTTTTTTAGGTTTTACTTCGTCGCTTAAATGCGGGAACGTTATCCCCGGTTTCGGTTTGTGCTTCCCTTTCACCTGGCCAAAAAGTTCTTGTTATAGCTGAAACAGTGGATAAAGAAAGTTTAGCTGATCAAGTAGTAAAGCTGCTTGTGGACAAAGGATTTGATGTTCAGCTCTCTCTAGGTAAGTCTTAAGATTCATTTGAGTGGTGAGCGTATATTCATTTTTATTTAGTTAGTTAATCGCTGTAAAGTTGTGGTCAAATTTAAAAAATAAATTGTTACGAAGTTCAAAAGCTTAGGCTGTTTTCTTCTGCTGTTTGATTCATTCGTGTTTGATACGAATTTTACTAGGTTGACCGTATATCTCTTTTTTTCCTTTTTGTCCTTTTTTTTTTTGATTACTTTGGTTTATTAGTTTTACAGAGCAATGGTTCTCTAACTTTTTGATTACTGCTTAGTTGTGCTGTGCAGATACTCGCTTTACAGTGCAAGTGGACCAACTCTTCGCTGACAATCGCGATTTGAGGGAGGATCCCAGTGATAATGATGGTTTCAACGTCGTAGGCACTTTAAGCTTAGAAAACCTACAGTTACATGAGAACAGACCTAACGTGGATAATCTGCTGGAAAAAAGGCATTCTGCAGATATTTTTCCTGTAGAAATTTTGCCTTATCTGTATTTGGGCAATGCTGATACTGCAGCTGATCGAGAAGTTTTGGACAGGTAGCATTTCCCTTTTTAGTCTTTTTTTTTTTTTTCTAGCTGTAAGTCTCTTTGTTGGGCATTAATTTGTTTTTCGTTGACATGTTTACTTTTCCTAGTGTTAATCAAATTGATATTTTTGTTAGTGATTGGTTATTCTTTCGAAGTTTTGTTTTCACCATAGAAATTTTTCAGGTATAATATAAGATACATTATTAATGTAACAAGAGATGTCGAGAACAACTTTGAGAGCGACGATCATTTTCATTATCTCAAGATTGCTGTTGATGACTCCTGCTCAAACAATCTTGCTCAGTACTTTCCAAGTTAGTTTATTTGTTTTTAAACCATCTGATGGGATGGACTGAGATTTTATTCTTCAATTGAAGTTAGAAACTAGATTTTTTATAAATTCAAACATCTTTGGGAGAACAGCAACATTCCTGTTGAATAGGACCAGTTCCGTTATGTTTTTTTTTAAACTACGTTTTTTTAGTTTTTTGAAATTACGTAGAAAAGTTATCTCAGTAGAAAGTAGAGATTTTCCAATATTTTTGTCACTGCAGCGTAGTTAATACATTCTTTGTCAGAACCTTTCTATTAACTCATATTGTTTAGAAGCGATAAACTTTATTGAAGAAGCCTCGAGATCAGGAAGTGCTGTTCTGGTGCATTGTTTAGCAGGTATCAGTCGCAGTGTTACCGTTTGTCTTGCATATTTGATGCATGCTAAAAGGAGCACTTTAGATGAAGCTTTCGATCTAGTTCATAAAAGGAATGCTTTGATTGCTCCGAATTTCCATTTTATGGGTCAGCTCTCCGAATTTGAAAGGCAGCTTGCTGGCTCAAAAATATGTAGTGCAACAATGAGTTCATCGACCTCTCCTACTACCTCCTCTAATTCTGACTAGTTTTGAATTAAGTAGATTCTTCTTTGCTGCGTAAGGAAGTTTACAACTGAAGAGTTTTTCTAAGTACAATTTATTTTTGTTTTTGTAAGTTTTTATTGTTTTGGCCAGGTTCTTTCTGAATCAAGCCAAATTTCCTATTTGCTTTCCTCTCATGCTTTGTTTTTTTTTTCCAAGTTTCTTCATTCAGTACAAACTAATTTCTTCAGAACTTCCTACAATTTTGCGAGAAGTTCAAAGTATTACAGATTTTTTGCATACGGCTTTAATATATTAATACTTTTTTTATTCTAGCTGTTTACATTGATGGGTGTAATTAATGTTTTTTTTATATCATTGTTCGTTTTTTGCTCTTTTGGGCTACAGGATCGCATTGTTTGTCACTGCAGCAGTTAACGGTTTTCAGAATGCGAATTTCTTGCCTTTTCTTCCTCACTCTAGTCTATGATATTACGAGTATAGAGCTAACCACTTGGAAACGTGAATGACTTGATGTATTAGTTACAGTTGAGGAATTTCTTTCAAATCAACAAATTTATGTTACGACTTGAATAAGCACTTACATCTTAGACTTGGTAGTTTTGCATACGATAGAATAAACGGACTGTTGTGATCCTGTAAATCCAACATTTTAGTTTTGTGGTCAATTTGTTTTGGAAATTCGTTTCCAGTTTGGTGTGAAGTGTTGTGGTAGGGAAATATAGAAAATTGCACTTTTTTCTAAAATTTAGTTGTAATAGATCTAGTTTTGAGTGTGACTTTTGTAGGAAGTGTAATTATATTCTGTATATATTTGTATGTGTGGTTTATATATAATTATGATATCAGCACATTCTGTTTATCAGGTGTTTTGGCGGTGACAAAATTTTTACATTTACCGATTTTTCAGTCGATGTGATTTGCTCCTCAAATTTCG